GAGTCAGGCACAGCTGACTGACTAAGCACAACACAATACAGTGTACAAAATAGAAAGACACCAATTAGATTTGAAAATTTTACCTGAAATTAAAATTTAAACAGCAAACAGTTTTTATTTTGTCAGTCAGATCTACCTAAAAGCGCTTATCAGAAAACAATATATATGTAGTTTCTATATGACCTTTAGTAATAGAGACAATAAAAAGTGGATGACAAATTAGAAAACTTTCCATAAACCATACTGCTACTGCTGCTAAGTCGCTTCAGTCGTGTCCGACTCTATGCGACCCCATAGACAGCAGCCCACCAGGCTCGCCCATCCCTGGGATCCTCCAGGCAGGAACACTGGAGTGGGTTGCCATTTCCTTCTCCAATGCATGAAAGTGAAAAGTGAAAGTAAAGTCGCTCAGTCGTGTCTGACTCTTTGCGACCCCGTGGACTGCAGCCCACGAAGCTCCTCCATCCATGGGATTTTCCAGGCAAGAGTACTGGAGTGGGGTGCCATTGCCTTCTTCAGGTCCATAAACCATAGCCATCACCAAAACACATGCTATCAGATTCTCTGTCTCCTATCCTCCACCAGCCAGTGTCAAGTTGAAACAAATAGAGATGAATTGCTGCTTTTTTTGCAGTGACATAAGGCTTATTCTAGATTTTGACAGGGCCTGCACATAACAGAGCTCTTAATGGAAGTTGAAATTGTCTTCAATTATACCCAGTGTCTAAAGGTGGGTCAGCCTGGCTTTTTAAGCTCTTAAAATAGCTCTGATTTCTGTCAGGGTTACCAAATTAATAGGACTCTATGAACTTTTGTCCTTACTTAAATGTTAAAACTTAGAAGAAAGTACTATATACTGTATGACTTTTTAAAAAGATTTCACATGTTAGGCTTCCAGATGAATTCTGAAGTTTATGCATAAAAAGGAATTCGAAGAAAATCAAGATGAGGGTTGAAATTGAAATTCATTTCAACCATGAGGGCTGAGGATGTTATGGTTTTACTTCTGAAATGAAGGGGGGCTTTTTCATCCATGATATACTAATTTATTTAGCAAATGTTAATTAAGAATCCTCTTCTCTGTATTTCAGCCATTGGGGATGTAGTGTGACAAACCTGAATCTGCCCTCAGAGCTGACTGTCCAATGTGAGGACAGAGACCATAAGCATACTAATAGTTTTCACAATTTTAAAATGTTATATAGGACACCTGATAACTTGTAGCACTATGTCCATGGGATTTCCCAGATAAGGATACCAGAATGGGTTGCATTTCCTTCTCCAGTGAATCTTCCCAACCCAGAGACTGAACACGAGTCTCCTGTGTGGCAGGCAGATTCTTTACCACTGAGCCACCAGGCAAGCCCAAAATAATTAATACCATATCTTAAATTACTTACAAACTCTCTAAATAACTTCGTAAGTCATGAGCTTGTTAGTTTTGGCGATAACTGTTGCAAAGAAGCATTTTGTCGTTGGAAGCTCCATTATCTTTAACAAATATCGTTATATGAAGTGGCAAAGTTTTCTATTTTGTGGAATCTCTCGATCATTTTAATAAGCTAAAGGGGGTGAAGACATAAATTCTACTAATAGCTAAACCTATTTTTCATATGTTTACTTTTTTTTGTCTTTCCTTCCACTCCTAAATTTTCTTTTTTTTTTTTCCTTTATTTTTTATTAGTTGGAGGCTAATTACTTTACAATATTGTAGTGGTTTTTGCCATACATTGACATGAATCAGCCATGGATTTACATGTGTTCCCCATCCTGAACCCCCCCCCCGCCTCCTTCCCCATCCCATCCCTCTGGGTCTTCCCAGTGCACCAGCCCTGAGCACTTGTCTCATGCATCCAACCTGGGCTGGTGATCTGTTTCACCCTTGATAATATACATGTTTCAATGCTATTCTCTCAGATCATCCCACCCTCGCCTTCTCCCATAGAGTCCAAAATTCTGTTCTGTACATCTGTGTCTCTTTTTCTGTCCTGCATATAGGGTTATCGTTACCATCTTTCTAAATTCCATAAAAATATGGAATGCTTCACAAATTTGCGTGTCATCCTTGTGCAGGGGCCATGCTAATCTTCTCTGTATTGTTCCAAATTTAGTATATGTGCTGCCGAAGCGAGCACCATATGTTTACTTTTGAAGACAAGAATGGTTTCTTTTCCCAGGGATAAGCGTATGAATGAATACACAGGCTGGTCCAATCGATAAAGCTTTTATGACTGTGACCTAGACTCAGACATAAAAAAATAAACATGATAATCCCCTTCTTCAAGGAGCTCACCAGTCTGTAGTGGGGATAGACAGAAATGTACATACAAATAATGTGGAAATTGAAATGATATTAATGGAGAAAAATTGCAACAGTAAAGAGAAATAATGCTTAAAGGGAAGTGCCAACAGGGTTATGGGCTTCTCTGTGCCAAGCACTAAGTACTTTAATGTATTTGCTTTAATCCTTCAGACCTCAATGAGATGGGTACTATTATCTTCATTTTACTGCTGGGAAAATTGAGTCACAGGATTTTGAAGCTGTTGATTGTTTTAAAGTAATCCTTTCTAGGCCTCTCAAATAGTAATGTTACAGTGAAAAGGAAAAAGAGGAAGGAGTTTTCTTTCCCTTTCCTGAGAACAAAAAAGATAGAACAGAGAGCAGGCCTGAACATTCATAGTTTTTACTTTAACACTTCCTAATCTGTAATCTGTAACTAAATTTGCTTTTCTTCCCCCTAACTCTGCACGAGCTACATTTTGCACCTATTATCCTTTGGAAGTGTTAGTCACATTTGACTCTTTGTGGCCCCATGGACTGTAGCCCACCTGGCTCCTCTGTCCATGGGATTCTCCAGGCAAGAATACTGCAGTGGGTTGCCATTTCCTCCTCCAGGGCATCTTCCCAACCCAGGAATAAGACCTGGGTCTCCTGCATTGCAGGCAGATTCTTTACCTGGGAACTCCAGTGACTCCTACTCTATGCTAATTACATCCTGTATCTAGCACTCACCTTTATAGCACTCTCTCTGCAAACCATCTCTTGTATTTTTCTCTTTTTACATATCTGAAAGAAAGGGCAGGGCCACTGGACAGTTAGACTCAATTCCTGGTTATTGACACCAGTCTATGACTGTTTTTGAAACAATGCAAGAGAAAGAAGAATACAGGATTCTCACACCTTTGTTCTTCATCACTACTCCTGATTGGGAGCCCTCATCTTATATAAGCCCCGAGGCTCCTCATGGAGTGGGGACAGTTCTTGAGGCATGAACCTACTGTTCCCCTCTCAACCAGCTGGGAATTAAAGCCACCTTTCTGTTTCCTCCAAATTCTCCTCCACGGTTTTTATTCAGCTTCGATGTGCAGAGAAAGCCAAGATTTTGGCCAGTAACAGTAAGTGGCCCAGCCTGACGTGGGAGGGTTTCAAGGCAAGTGGGCTGAAGGTGTCATATTAGTCTTAAAGGATTAGTCAAAATCGGGACACAGAAGCAAGGGACGTTTTATGGAGATACATTTCAGGTCAGAAAAATAGGACTGAAAACATATCAGAGGTGACTAACATACACTGTGTGGAGGGAAAACCTGCTATTTTGGTTTTTCAATGGCCACGACTGGAAGAGGGAGTTCAAAGAAGGTGAGCAGAGACGCCAAGAACTCAGAGCCTCTTGAGGAAGAGTGGACTCCAAGGGGCAGGCGAGGGTGGGGCCCCCAGAAAGCGAAGGAGAGTTTTAAAAACAGTGATTGGCAAAGTTTTGGTGGTAATAAAAGTCATTTTGATAATGAGTGATGGATTTCAGTAGGACAAACCTGGAGACAGAATAAGTCAGAAGGTGCATTTCAATAAGTTAATTAGAGGTACTTTGAGTGAATTTTTTTTTTTTTTTTTTGGTTGTGCATGTGGTTTGAGGGATCTCAGTTCTCTAGTCAGGTATTGAATCACCCCAGATCATGACAGTAAAAGCCCAGAATCCTAACTACAATGCAACCAAGAGTCCCTAGGAGTGTAAGGAGATCAATCTAGTCCATCCTAAAGGAAATCAACCCTGAGTATTCATTGGAAGTTCTGATTCTGAAGTTGAAACTCCAATACTTTCGACACCTGATGTGAAGACTCATTGGAAAAGATCTGGATGCTGAGAAAGATTGAAGGCGGGAGGAGAAGGGGGCAACAAGAATGAGATGGTTGGATGGCAACATCAACTCAGTGGGCATGAGTCTGTGCAAACTCCAGGAGGTAGTGAAGGACAGGGAAGCCTGGTGTGCTGCAGCCCATGGGTTGCAGAGTTGGACACAACTGTATAGCAATAAAAACTTGAATTAAACTACTCCATTTCCTAGATTTATTTAATCAGAATAAATAATTAAATTCTAAAATAACTAATTTACTTTAATTATCCAAATCTCATATGAGGAGCTCCTTAGACTCTATTTCTCAGAATTACAATTTTCAGTGGTAGCTATACAGCTTCAGAATCAGCTTGATGAAAACTCAGGGAGCCCAGAAATCCCTAAAGATAGTGTGTTTGTCCCTTGTTGAGGTTTAGGTAATTTTTCTACCAATGTGTTGCAACTATTCTAAATTTATAGCTTTAAAGTGAAGAAATAATTACTTGTTTAAACATGTTTTAATCATCTCTGAAGCAAAGATATTAATTCTGTGCCCAAAACTGTTGGAGATAGAATTAGTAGCCATCTAGTTCAATTTCAACATTGAGAGAAGACAATAACAGCCTAAATTATTAAGTGCCCATTTTATACCCACCAAAGTTCTAATTGCTTTATATGCAGAAACTCAACCTCCCAATGAGTACATGACAAGTGAGATAAATAGCTTGTTCTTGGTGACAACATCAGTAAAAGTAAAGCCACGACACACACCTACAACCATGCCCAAAGCACCTACTTCACCAGGACCTCTCATGACAGAGAAGGGAAGGAGGAGACACTGACTGACGTGACTAGCTTGTTATTAATGGAACACAGCCCAGGGCCCTTCCTTAGACACCGTGCCCCATTTTCTGCCTCTTCTGACTCACTGTTGATAAAATAAGAGAATTAACCTCACTTGCTGACCCTGAAAATGAAAAGAAGATGTTGATATTATTCACCATGCAATGTCTTGGCAACAGCTTAACCTAGGGTCCATTTTTAGACCAAGTGTAGAACCATAATCTGTAAGCATCTCCGTAACACCAGGAGGAATGAAACTCAGCACTGATGTGAGAGCATGGGATAGCTTTCTTACTGGGCATGTTGGATTTCAGCTCCCTTACAGCTCTTCTCTGATCCTAAAAGGGACAGGGGCTTAAAGTAATTGAACAGATCAATCACTGTATCTGTTACCAGTGATGCCCTGTAATTAACATCTCTCACCAGGAAAGAGCCTTCACCCAGGCCAAATCATCTCAGAAGCTCAACCTATATTGTTAAGGGATTTGAATTTACCATAAAATATTAACTATTCTGTAGTACAGACTCAGAGTTTACCCTAAAATTAGCAAGATAACCCTTTTTTAATTCTCAAAGAGGTAACAACAAATTTTAGAGATGGTAGGTAAAGAGTCCAAAATTGTGGTTAAAAATCTTCAGCTAAAAGCGAGACAAAGAAATTAAAAATCCTGCAAAAAGAAAAAAAAAACAGAACAAAGGGAAAATCTACAGCCTGGAGATTTGGCAGGAAAAACACGCCCAATAAACCCCTTTCCCTAATTGGTCTTGCATTCACACGCTCTTTGACATGGGGTGAAACACACTGGACTCCTGACTGCTTGGGGAAGGGAACAAGGATATAAAAAAAAAAACACCTTAAAGGTGTGGGGCCCCTCCGATGGGGTTAGTCCACTCTCACATCTGGGGAGTGTATTTTTTCATGTCACTTGTTTAATAAATCCTGCCTGAGTGAGATTTCTGCTCTTTTTTTTTAATTGATTGATGATTGGTTTGCAATATTGGTTTGATTTCTGTCCTACATCAACATGAATTGACCAAAGGTATACACATGTCCCCTCCCTCTTGAATCCCCCGTGTTTTAATTTTTTATTATGGCAAGACAAGGACAGAGGAAGAGGACCATGCCCGACATGGATATTAAGCAGCCAGCATTCCTAAAACTTGAAACATACATTTGACATGCTATATTCATTTGCTGAATTATGTTACACACTACCTTTAATGATCAGGTGTCTAAACATGAAACCATGGAGTAGATTCATTCCTTTCAAAGATAAGGAGAGACAGAGAAAGACAATTAGGGAACAAGCTGAAAATATTGAATGCAGCCTTCTATTTAGGGCTTGAAAGAAACTGCCTCTGGCCTACAGAAGAGTTCAGTCTGTGATACCTGAGTTTGATCTGAATAATTACACACAGCAGATGTGCTTTTGGGTCAACAGTCTGATATGAAGGAATCACATATTCATTGAAAAAGTATTCATGGCTATTCTCTTTCAAGTTCTACCAATGAGTATTATTTTACAATTTTTACCACGAGCAGTTAAATCACAGACAGTTCCAAAGTCAGTTATAAAGTCAAGTGCAATAGTCTTTTTGATTTCAGACCCCTCGTTTTCCTAAATGGAGTCTCCTTCATGGTTCCTCCATGTTGGATGATACAATTTTTGGAATCATTCATCAGTTCCCTGATCTCTAGTCAACGTGGCCTTATTTGATTAACTATACTTTCTGATCAGTTCAGTTCAGTAGCTCAGTTGTGTCCGACTCTTTGTGACCACGTGGACTGCAGCACGCCAGGCTTCCCTGTCCATCACCAACTCCCAGAGCTTGCTCAAACTCATGTCCACTGAGTCAGTGATGCCATCCAACCATCTCATCCTCTGTTGTCCCCTTATCCTCCTGCCTTCAAACTATACACTATTGAAATCATCATGTCACTGCAGATGAGCATGCAGTTTCCAGAATATTAGATGGTTAAACTCAAGGTTGTCATCATTAAGGGCACCTTATTTATCAGTCCCATTTAAAAAACATATAATGCCCTGCAAAAAATAAAATTAAAATAAACTATAGCAATGTAATAAAAAAAAAAGTGTTTCTGCGGGAAGAAAGTGTTTGGCTAAGAAAACATCACTGATGAACTTTCAGTGTTTCCCATTAGACTGACTGACTGCTACTAACCAGCTACAGATAAATGAAGGAAGGTCTGGTTTATACTTCCCTGAATCTTTGCCCATCAGAATGACTTCTCCTTTTGATTCATAAATTCTTATGCAATGAGGGACCAATGGCAATTTACAAGATGATCATATCACCTATGGTCTTAGGTAGGATGCCAGGATTGCCAAGCTGTCTGGGTCTCTTTAGGGTACTTCATACTGAGGCATAGCGACCTCAAGTAAAGGAAAACATAAAGACTATGGCCAGCAAAAATGAGTTTCAGGGATTCCAGGGAGCTTAGCATAACACCAAGAGTTATCTTATTAGGACATCTCCTATTCAGCCTGGCTTCTATTTCAGTGGAGACACCATTACTCATGTATGTCTCACGTTTCCTAGAGAAGTGTGTGTGACAAAGTGGTTTAGCAGGTGAGTGCACCTATAGGCTGCTCAGTGTCATGCTATTGAGGTAAACTCAGATGTTTAAAAGAGTGGCCCATGAAAGCCATCTGCTATACGAGGGAGCCAAGGGGGCAAGGTAGTTTGATATCTTGAGGGCATATTAAATTATGGTCACTCCTTGGCTTAGGGTGAAAGTCCCAGGTCTAAGAGAGTCTGAACTTGGAAGTCATACCCTTCCCCCATCCAGGGATGAAGTTTGGCTGACATTTAACTGACTTGTGTTGACTACTAGTGCTTCCTGCTACCATGCGTATTACTACTGCAGTGTTGCTCAGTCACTAAGTCATGTCTGACTCTTTGTAACCACATTGGTTGCAGGAGGCTTCTGTCTTCACTGTCTCCCAGGGCTTGCTCAAACTCATGTCCACTGAGTGGGTGATGTCATCCAACCATCTCATCCTCTGTCCTCCCCTCTCCTCCTGCCATCAATCTTCCCCAGCATCAGGGTCTTTACCAATGAGTCAGTTCTTTGCATCAGGTGGCCAAAGTATTGGAGCTTCAGGGTTGATTTCCTTTAAGATTGACTGGTTTGATCTCCTTGAAGTTCAAGGGACTCTCAAGGGTGTTCTCCAGCTTTTAAGTAACACTAGTGCCTAGTAGTGTTACTTAAAAACCATGGATGCAATTCCTTTAAAAAAAAAAAAAAAACACTTTTCCAAAAAATCATAAGCAAGTTCACTGAACTTTGGAACCTGAAATGTGCCTTTTTACAGATATAAACTCGATGTGTATCAGACTCCAGTCTCGGGAAGTTATTTCATTCATCATCATTTCATGGAGATCATTCTCAGTTAAAAGATAAATTTTGTAATTTCTCCAAGCTCATGGCGATCATTTAGCCCTTCCGGCTTGAGCTTCTCTGAAGCAGTCATGGATTTTCCTGCTATCTTCCTCTCTATAGCAAGTGACTTATGTTTCCAAACCTTTCAGTTTAGAGATAATTTTTTTTTGAAAGGGAAAAAATAGTGAAATCATAGCTTGATGTTTCTATAATCTAGGGTTACATCAATCCTTTCTAAGGTCCCTAAAACTGAAGTGGCAGAGCTGAGACTTGGATTCAAGACTCTTAACACATAGGCTGTTAACTGCTTGTTATATTTCTATCTGTCCCAATGACTCCATGATTTTATAATTCTTAATACTATAAAATAAATAAATAGCTTTTCTCCACAGAACCTTTCATTTATTTTCTAAGTGTTTCAAGCGAACGAGACTAAAATAAAAAGAAAATGTACCCAATCTGAAAGAAATCAATTGCATAAATGTTATTTCAAACCTGTGGTATATCTCCATGAGCTTGGCGGTGGCCTTAATTTATCCTGCATGCTTGTGCTAAGTCGCTTCATTCATCTCTGACTCTGCCACCCTTTGGACTGTAGCCCGCCAGGCTCCTCTGTCCATGGGGTTTTTCAGGCAAGAATGCTGGAGTGGGTTGCCACACCCTCCTCCAGGGGATCTTCCCAATCCAGAGATCTAACCTGTGTCTCTTTTGTCTCCTGAACTGGCAAGCAAATTCTTTACCACTAGTGCCACCTGGGAAGCCCAATTTACCCTGTAGAAATACGCAAAGTCAAAATGATAAGTTACAGAGTTCAAGTTTATTCAAGGTGTAAAATTAAGGTTCCTTGGGTCACTGTCCCACTACAATGTAGGGGTCAGAGTTTTCTGGGCTATTGAGGCAGCCACTAGTTTTTTTGGTGGCGTGTGGATACATATTCAACATACAGTTTTAGGAGATAAAACAGAAAAAAATTAAAAAATAAGGATGTTTGCATTAGTATTCAATCCGATACCAGATATTTGCTCAGGCATCCCTACCCCTACCCCTACCCTGCCCGCCCCCCCCAACAGCTTCTCAGTCCCAGAAAGACTCTCACTTTCTGGAATATTTTACACCAGTGTGCCCCTCCCTCCCCTGCAGCAATTTCAAGAGTGTCCTACTTTCTGTGAAGTGAGGCAGACTAAATCCGCAACAATACATCCAAAGAGAAAACAGACTTAGATGATCTACAAGGGGCCAGCCTAGAGCCCATTCACTTACCTCAATAAATTCTACTATGAATCAGCCTGAGAAGCAACATTAAGCATATCTATGTTTTAAGATGTGTTATCACTTTTTGACCCTCTCAGGGTTAGAAACACTCTTTTCTCCAGGAGGAAAGACCTGATTGCCCCCCACCCCCTACCCCTCGCAAGGGTATAAGGCCTTTTGGATACTGGAATTTGCGCATTCAAGTCATTTTTTTTTCTCAGAAATTCTCCATTCTACTATGTGTGTGTACACAGTGAAATGGTTTTTATTATGACCCTGAACCTAAGGTGAAATGGCTAATAAATTAGATTTAATTATCTAGAGTGTCTATGTAACTGTAACACAGCTGTATCAAATTACAGGTACTTATCAGAATAGTTCTAGTTTCTCAGAATTAGACATATGAGAAAACTACAGAGGAGAGGAATCCAGGCTTCCTAAGCAGAAACGTTATCCATTTGAGGTTA